CACGCCTCAGAAAAATGCAGCAGCCACAGAAGTTGATATGTGGCTAATGTGGCTGCTGTTCTGCATGTTGCACGGTGAGAAATTTGGGCTTAATAGGGTGTTAAGATACATATTTGAGAAAAAAACTTAAAATCAGATTATTTAATAAAGAAATATGAAGAGAATGCGTTATAGTTAAAACGGAAAAACAGTTTTCCAGGACAGTTTTCCATGCTTTTACTTCAACTTTTATTGTAAGGAAAATCATAAATGAAAATGAAAGATCTTTCCAATTTTTCCAATATTTTCACATGCATCATATGACTCCCGTTTGCTGATGTTGCTGTTGCCACCGCTGCCACTGCCGCTGCTTCTGCTGCTGCTTCTGCTCCATCTACCGCTGCTGTCCTCGGGTTCGTCCTCAATCACGCCATCGCCATGCACATGAACTACATTCTGTCCGTCTTTGTCTTGGGGATCCGCTTAAGCCGCACTTGCCCCCCATATCATCCGACGTCCGAGCCCAAGACCAAGTCGGAACGAATCCCTCTCTGTTTGGATGTTTCTGTTGCTGCAAAATCAATGTTGACGCAAATACGTGTATGTAGAATCATTTTGCCGACAGTTCAGACTTATTTCTTTCGCTACCGAATTTAATTGGATTTTCTCCCTGACTTAAGGGCTTTAACTGCTGTGGTATGTGGAAATCATTTCTGTCTCAGACACGCAATGTCCCTCTTTGGCCACCTCTTTTTAGCTGGCCAACTGCAAAATTTGGTCTTGTCGATGATGCAGGAGAAACTAAAGCTGGAGCTGGAGTTGGGATTGGGGCTCCACCCGATCCGGGGGCAGCAGTAAAAACTCACTTAATTTAGCAACTGCGAAAAGTTAATCATTACATTCCGCCGACCGAGTGGTGCGTGCTGGGCGTGATATGACGAGGCACATGACTCAGCCGCCCGCCAGTTTTAGTATCTAAATTTGAGTGACGAAGCTGATGAAGGGATTAAGGTTAAGGGGTTAAAACTAACTAGTGAGTATAGATAGTTTAAAGAAAGAAAGTTTGAAAGTAACACCTTTTTTACCTTCTCTAAGAGAATCTCTATTAAAAACCTTCACCAAACCCATTTAGAACGTCCAAGTTAATGGCATTTTCGAAATCAATTTCCCATTTACATTTACTTTTGAGAGGAATCAGGAAGTCTTTGTAATCTAACCCACTTTGGAGTACGTAGATTTGTTAGCTTTTGCATTAGTCAGCAAATTTTGAGTAACATTTGTATGCAAATGGGGAAAAAGGCAACCGGAGCCAGACAAAAAGCGACACTTTAATCATTCTGGGCAAGCGCTAAACATTTCCGACCAACAAAAAACACAAACTTGAGCATATTTCCGTTGGCATAGGTCTGTCTAAAAAAGTAGGTCTAACGCTGAGAAAAATATTGGGATACTTTCCCTAACAAAACCAAAATTTTCTTTCCAATTTGCCATCATTTTAGCACCTTTATATGGGTTAAATTTTCTTTTTAAACAAGAAAAGTCTTTGGTTAAGCTTAAAAAATAAATCAAATTCTTTATGTATAAAGTTTATATATAATATTCCTTGTAAAATATAAGACTTATTACTTAATTTTAAAAGATTTACTTAATTTTAGATAATATTTAAGGTTTTTTATTATGAAAAATAACTTGGGAAATGTATTTTGCAGCTTCTTTTAAGACTTCTGGACCCTTTAAGTTGGATTAAACTTTGCAGTTACGATTTTCTCTCTGTGTACAGTTCTACAGGCGAAAGGTGCCCTCTCTATAAGAAACCTACAGCGTTGAGCCTAAAAGTTATTTTCTATTTGTTTGTTAACATTACGAAATTCCGATTCTCTGTCTTTGGTAGGAGAAGTAAAATTCTACCCCAGTGTTTTTTCACGGTTCACCAAGTCCACGGCCCACTCCCGCTGCCCGCTCACCACTCCCCACTACCCCCAAAAAAATGAATATAACCCCCGCCTTTGGTGGAAATCAGCATATGCATATGCCTACATGTGGGTAAACACCACCGCGTCGCTAACCACGGGCACAAAAACTCCGCCCGGCTCGAGCACTTCTTGTCTACATTGTTTGGAATATTTTCAGCCGGACAGGCGGACAAACGGACTGAGGGACAAACGGACAGAGGGACAGATGGACTGAGGGACAGGCAAGCAAACAAAAACAGGAAGCGTGGCTACCACAAATATGCATGGCAGAGAGGGCTTGGCTCTAAGTTCGGTTAAGTTTCGGGCCGGGATGTAGATACTAGATGGCTATCTGGCTAGAAACTTGGCCACTTTGCTACCGAAATAATGGCGGCCGGCAGGCGTTAGCCAAGGCGGCCATAATTAATGCGCCCATCCCCGAAAAAAAAGCTGCACGAAACGTAATTAGAAGCGGGCTGACAGTAGAACGTCCCTAAAATGGAAAACTCATTAATTCAATGTTCTTAGAACATTTTTATTTAAGTTTAAGTTAAATAGTTATAATATTGTTAGGGTAAAACTGACATTATCATCAAAGATTGAGTAACAATTTGAGACTTACTCTCAAAATATTGTTAATAACTAACTAAATATACCTTAAAACTTCTTTAAATAAGTATAAAAACCAAGATTATAGTTAAAGAAGTTAACCTGTACCAACAAGCTGAGTTTGCGTTACTTTGTGAGGGTTAATTTGAGCCCCTTCGGGCGGTTTGTTAGATACAGTGATAAATGTTTAATTAGCCGCGTTATTAATCTAATCAATCATGCAGGCCTAAATCAATCAGGAGGGGGGACAGAGGGGTTAGGCATGGCCTGTTAATTCCGCTGCTTAACATCCGATTCCCCAGTTGTCTCCCCCAAACTCCCCTTCATTCAAAAACCTCTGAAATTCTGGCCTTCTTTGAGTTTCCTTAGCATTTTCTTATTGGTTATGCTAGTTACTTGTATTTTACAAGCGTGTAAGCAGGACAACTATAGTAGCCAATGCGCAGCTGCGAACCTGCTCTACAGACACGCCTCTCTTTCGCTCTCACTCAATTTGCCAGCCAGTTTGAGTTTCAACTCAAATTATGTAAGGTGAGTCGAGAGCTCAGAGCTACTTTTATCTGCTCTCCTTTTCTCTCTCTCTCTCTCTTTAGTGACATATAAATATTTTTTAGTGGAAGCAACTTTTGCCTAGTCTTTTATCAACATAAATAAATTAATGGGCAAAGTTCTGCGTGCGTGTATTGTCATTTTGAATGGCAAAAGTTGTGCCTTTCAATCTGGAGAATCATTGTTATTTCGCGCTGGCAAATTATAGGCCATTAAAATTGATTATTTTTCATTATCAGTGTGGGAGGTTGTCCGTTCACCGCCTCTCTGTCACACCCCCTTTACGAAAGAGCACAGAGGAGTTGCACTAACAACACCTTCGTTAGTGCAAAAAAATTAAGGTCTAAACTTAAAGGGTTAAGAGACACACACACACGCATACTAATACAATTGGCGGCCATTATTACATGGCTCCTGATTTCTGTAATTCCAGCCAACCAGCGCTGAAGTGGAAGTGAGAGGGGAACAGTGGGCGAAATAAATCAATTAGCCGACCCATCTTCACCTCGTGCCGCTCCTGTCACTCCACTGCATTTGCATGACATCCCGCTCTCACTCTTTTGGCTCCTTTTGCTGCGCAGTCTGTGCTTTCTCTTTCTCTGTCTCTCTTTCTGTCTTTCTTGAGTGGCGCTAATCGGTTACGTTGCTGCTTACCACCTTCTTACCTCCTTAACACCCTACTTACCAAGTAACCACCACCGCAGTGTTGGTTGGCCAAAACGAGTGGAGCTGCGTCCAACGCGGATTCATTGGTTTCTCGTCCGGCCAAAGTCACTTATGTCCGCCAATGTCCCGTGTAATGCGTTTTTTGCCAGTCCCCATCTTTGGTTAGATATTGGGGGTAGGGGTAGTTAGTAGCTTAAATTGTTAGCACGCAGAAAAATTACTAGTGTTTGTCACAAAAACTGATTTATTTGAGTTTAACTAAGACTAAGTTACAAAGCTCTTTAATTATATAAGAAAATGCCATCTCAAGATCAAAATTAACTAAGAGACATGTGTCTGTTAGTTTTTGTCTACATTTTTATGTTAAGTTATCATAATGTTAACTAAATCGTATTGGTAAAGTCATTTTATTAGGGCCTAAGCTGTTAAGTAACATTACACTATATTCTTGATTATTTTTTAAATCTTTTTATATAAAATATAAGAGAAAATGAAAAATTATAACTTAGATAAGTTATAAAATCAATACTTGGGAAATATAAGGATATAATGAAGATATTTACTTTGAATAATATTTTTATACTTAACTAATTTTACATTAAAATTAACTTTAAACATAAACTCATACTATCTTCAGCTACTACCTCTTTACAAGTCCCTCTAACCTAATTAATCCTATTATTTATAATTTCCCCATAAAAATAATACCTCCGAAATCAAATCCCAATCCTTTGTTCTTTCCCCAAAACAACACATTATTTCCCAGTGTCTTCACCAGTGATCGATGATTGACAGCCATTTCTCGTTGTCGGAATTTCCACAAAAATAAAATACAAACTTTTCCAACTGGCCAACACCACGTATATACGTATTACCAAACAAAATCGCTCGTCAATTAAAAGCCCGAAAGCAACTGGTAGCTTAGGCCTGGCCTGAAAGTTTGATAAACAATGCACTGAAATCGAATGCCCGAGTAATTAATTATTGAACTTTTACAACTGTTTCGGTTTTGGTTTGGTTTTTATTTTCTTTATACTTTTTTTTTCCCTCTCATTTCCACACTGAAGCGCTCAATGAGGCGACGCTCAAACGTACACACACTCATAGGGCTAAGAAAAAAAAAGAAAAAAAAACCCCTGAATGCTCAGTGGCAAACCGACCACAACCACAGGCAAACCAGAATGCAGCAACAGCAACAGCAACAGCAACGACAACGGCCAAAAGCAACCCGATCCCAGTTTTAGCCAAGTAAGATATTGCGCTGCCGGTGGCTCTGAGCTCAGTCTCATTCAGCGAGTCGGCGGGCGTTGAGTTTGAGTGCGAAGTGCGGTGCGCGTCGAGTCAGCGAGCGTTGAGCAGAAGCAACAACACGACGGCAACAGCAGCAACAGTAACAGCAACTAGCAACACCAACGGCTGCAACACAAGCCAACGGTTCCGGTTCGCGTTTTCGAGTGGCGTTCGGGAAAAAAAAGAAGAAAATAATCCCTTAAGAAAAACCGTCGGAAAAACAGGGCCCAATTAAAAAAAAAATGCCGCCCGTTCACTAAAGATCCCCCTTAATTTAATCCATCCTACTTGCTGGTCTTACCATTTGGAAGCGTGGCATGGCAACCACCACATCCCCTGAACCCACAAGAACAACCAATAAAGTTTCTATACCAGGAACCGCATCTGGAATTTCCGGGCGCACTGAATCCCCGGTAGCAATCATGCCCATGGCCGCCGTGCCATTGCCGTCGCATCTACAACTTTTGGGCAGTTCCGCTGGCGGCATTGGTCAGCCGTCGGCAATCACGCCCGTTTCGCCCACGGCGGCGACGACAGGTGAGTGGGATAAGATTCAAATTTTTAAATTTTATTTAAATATGTTTTCTGTTTTTAAATATTATATAATATAATATTATGGGAAGCAAAACGTCTGTGCTTGATTAAACAAAAATATTGATTTTTAGACAGATTATCTTAAATTTCGTATATATACATACATTTTTAATATTTTAAAGAATTTTCCTTTAATTCCTTTTTTATATTATGTTATAAATATCACTGATTGATCATAAGCTTAGCTTGAAGTTGGAAAGACTAGATTAACTATCTACTAAGTTTATTATGTTCTTTAAAAATAAAAGTAATTCTATTACTGACAATAGTTACGTCGAACGGCCTTAAGCTCTTAATACATATTTTTGCTGTAATTTTTTACAATAGATTTTTAATCTCAAATTAACTTTAATCTTCCTTTAACACATGAAAAGGTATTATAAACTTGTCTTACAAGCTACTAAAAACTACTAAAAGTCACTAAAGTGTGTGTTTAAGACTATGTAAGTAAGTAAACTGCTGATGTATTGGTTGAAAAAGATATTAGAATTTCTTCATCAATAAAAAGTGGTTTCTAAAATGATAAAATAAATACAAATAATACCAACTTGGTTATCCAATAGAGACATTAAAACCAAATACTTAAAATTTGTTTTGTTTTATATATCAAACTATATTCAAAAGACACTTTATAAAGTCCATAAATTAAGTTTTAGCTTTGTCTACTTCCCTGCCTACCTTAGTATTCCTTCTAAATCCACAACTGCCACTGTTTTACATAGCCACTAAAACTGCAACTAGATCCACTGACTTGTCTGTTAATTTTAGTACTAATTTTGCTCCCAAAACCACCGATGTTGCTACGTTGTCTAGCGATATCGCTTGTGTTATTGCTGTTGCCGCTGTGGCATTGCTATTGCTGCACGCTCCATGTGAGCGGCAAGATTCGGGTGAATTCCATTAACTGACAGGGATATCGGAATCGGGGGCCCGAAACAGTTTAAAACAAAAGCCAGCCACAAGAAACTGGTGGCACTAGTCAAATGCCTGCTGGAGAAGTGCAATGATTTGGAAATTTCACAACAGCAACAGCAACGCAGCAGCAGCAACAGCAACAGCAACAACAACATCACTGCTGCAGCAGCAGCAGCAGCAACACACAACTGTGGCAACTGTTTTGGTCTTTCGCACATCAGTGGCAATTTGTTTTGCACAAGTATGGGTTGTCAAATAAAATTAGTTCACGTCGGCGGCCATCGAATGTATCTGCAAGATACACACAGTGTCCCGGATGGAAACTAAGGGGACTCTTAGGCGAACGGTAAGGAGGGGGTGCAGAGAGCAAAGCTTTGACTTGTCTCTAGAAGGTGTTGGAAGTTGCACAATAAATAAATAATTATAAAAAGAGACCCAGCCGAGAGGGTAGAGAGCGAGAGACTCTGAAAAAGAGACACAGGGAGACCCCAAACCGGAGACCCAAAGGCGGGAATCTAAAGGGGTTCCGAAGGGGGCACACAGGAGGCAAGGTACATGGCATACATTGAAGTTTAAGCATAGGGCAGAAACCATACTTAGGGGTCTCAGGTTACGTGGTGCGTGTATTCGCATTATTCTTAGAAAGCCAAGCGTATAAAAGGTGTGCACAATGATTTTGAAGAGTGACTCCGGCTTGGCTTAGTTTGGTTGGCAAAAATGCACATGGTCCGAACTCCTTACGTTACTCTTGCCTTGCGTTACGTATATGAATATGTGTGTCACCCCAGCTAATGGTTGTTGCCGGCTAAGGAATCGAGGGTTATCATTTCATGACGCTTTTGGTAGTTCTTAAGAGTCTGGAAAAGGAAATAGTTATATTAATACCGGAGGTAAGTTTACACCTAAATTTACACCAAAAAGTGAGACTTATAAAGAAAAGGATAAGAAAACTGTTTATATTCTTAAATCCCATAATTCTAAAACAAACAATTCAAATTACAATCATTAACCCCTTCCTAACACCCGTTAAATAAACAAAAAACAGTTACACACTTCCATCCAACAATTAATTTAAAGTTCAATGTGTTTTCGAATTTAATTTACATATTTACACACCGCTAGTTAAGCACAGTTTAATAGCAAACTATAATCCACAACCGTACACAATAAAATCCAATAAAGGATGGCATAAAATTAGAGTGACTTATGTAAGAGTACATCTCCCCGCCGCGGAATTCTTGGAGCTTAGGAAAATGTGCGAAGATCGCAGTAATGTGCAGTGCCAGTAAAAACCAGAAGCTTTAGAGGACGAGTAATGCGCTGCGCGCGACAAACAAGATCAGCGAGCAGCACTAACTGAAGGGGCAGGTGTTGGGGATGGGTATTGGGGATGTGGTTAAAGATGTGGATGAGGGGTTAACCTCCATCCAGATGAGGATGCGTTGAGGAGCCACATAAAAAGCGAGCAACTTTAATTTATATGCAGTGCCTGGGCAAGGGGCACAAACGGGCGGGTAAAAAAAAGGGGGCATGCAGCGGCAAAAAGTTACCGGTAGCAATAAATCAAACTATCAATTGAATTCCGAGGCGATCATCACTTGTGGCGAGCTGCGATCCCGAGTTCGAGCTTCAGTCCGACTCCCGTCTCCCGACTCCGATCGGCATCGCTTCTTGTTATAAGTCTCACGGTGACGTGCGATGGAGTACACTGTAAGAAAGATAAAGCTGTTGACTTTTGTCAAATGAAAAATGGGAATGGAAAATGAATGGAAACTTAAAGGTAGAATAATATATCTTATTATCAAAAGTTAAACCAAGAAACATCAAAAAGAAATATTTTCTCAGTGTACAAGACGAAGGAGCACGGTGAAGGGTCTTACTTTTGGGCCGTGGTTCCAGCGATTTTAAGCCGCTTTTGCAATTGACTGAGGCGCATCGCGGGGCAGTCGGAGCTGTCGCATTGCGTAGTAAATCATCGGTCGATCCGGCTCCGACTTTACCATAGAATCTGGACTGTAACTGAGGCTGAGGCTGGAACTCTAAGACTGGGACTGGAGCAATGGCAATCCGGAGGCACTGTTGACATCCAAGTTGGCCGGCTGTTGCGGCGGCATAAATCAAGCATGTGATCATAACCATAACCATCGTGGCCACAACAATTGGCGCAACATGCGAGTGCAGCAAATTGCCGCAGCGGCTACTTTTAAATGGAGTAAGCCCAGACTGGTTGCATCTGCATGGAGTTTAATTAGCCAAAGAGCTGGGAAGGAGATCCTTGATTCCGATCCGCGATCACCAGATCACCGATCTCCGTTCGAAGTGCATACTGGAAACCCGATGGCATGCCGTCGCCACACACGGAGCCCGATCGCACCAAAAAAGAGGTGTTAAAATGTGTGCAGTTCTCGCGATCAGATAAAATGTCAAAATGAACATAAAAGCTTCTACATCCGAGGAATGGCCAATTGCTGCCACCACGCTGACAAGCGATCTTCCATCCCATTGCCATTCCCAATCCAGAGATCCAAAGATCTCAGGTCCAACAAATTGCCAGTGAGAATTTCATAAATTCCGACTGGAATCAGCAGTCAGTGTCAGCGGTAATGGACCACACCGCGTCCATTATGCCCATAAACGTTGACACTTCCGCCACTGGACTGGAGGAGGAGGAGCCCCTCTGCTCCGCGGCACATGGGTCGACATTGACTCTGACTTTGACGTCGTCGATCAAAAACACAAACCGAAATTTGTCCAGCCATCTCGTTGTCCCCCGCCAAATCCTTGGGGCCACCAGTCGATGATCGGGCTACAAATTTCTTGGTGTTTCTGTGTCACGCGCGGAATGCCGGCAACAGCTTCGTTTAAATTCCAATTGACGTTTAATGATTTTGCGCCTCTACACTGGGAGAAAAAAATATAGAATGAACTATAAAAATTATAAATAATTCACAAAAACCAGAAATTATGACCTAAAAAATAGAAACTTTATCTTTAAGATATAATTTGCTTAGATTAAGAACAAGAATGTAATTTCTCTCAGTGTATTAATCTTTTCTTACCCTTCAATTTCAGTTCTCGCCCAACCGCACAGTTTGAGCCCCTCCACGCCCATCCTGACCCAGGGAACACCCCCTGCGCCAACGCTGGGTGGCATCTTCTGCGGAGGCACTGCACCAGCTGGACCTGGAGCTGCAGGGGCAGCAGCAGCGGCGGCGGCTACAAATCTCAATGCCTTGGCCTCCCAGCATCGATTACTAGAGCTATCCCGCTTTGGACTTCGAGGATATGATCTGGCCCAGCATATGCTATCCCAACAAGGAGCTGTATCCAAGCTGCTGGGTAAGTTAAGGGGGATAGAAGAAGGGGAAAGCAGGAAGTTCAACGTGGTCTAGACTCTAGACCACCCTGACCAATGAAATTAGCGGCATAACGCGGAACCACAAAACACGCGCCCCAAATGCAATCGCCACATGTCCCCAAGCGTCCCAATCGATTTGCACGGCTCCGTTGTGGGGTCACGTAAACACGACAAATCGATTGCCAATCGACATTGCCATCGCCTACACCTGCATCTGGTCACCCCTTCATCTTGTGCTCCTACTGGTTAGCCGCTTTTCCCTTAAGGAAATCTGCAGCAGCAGCAGCTGCACACCTGTTGCCACCTGTGGGCATAACACTCAGCCATGTCATTCTCGATTTTCAAACTTCTGCTCTCAAATTGGCTAATTGGAATTGCAAGCTTACAGCTTGAGACGGAAGTTTGGAACTCTAAGAAGTTGGATGATTTGTAGAAACAGAAAAATGGAAAATATTTCATCAAAAAGAATACATACATATGTAGGTTATTACCAAATTATGTTACCAAAATAGGCAGCCACTATATCAATATTGTAGTTGTCGGAAAGAATGTGCTGTTATCTTAATCAAAAACGAACTGTTCTTTATTCCTTTATCCTATTCTATCTTAGTCTAATTTGTAGATGTATTGGTGACATTTGCAGATCGTGCAAACAGGACACATATAGTGTCCGTTAGTATCATCTTTATGAAAAAGTAAGGGAGAGGAATACATTGCTTAAAACGTAGCGAGTATAGATAAGTTAGTGTAACTGTTTTTTGGACATGTTACGGTGACCGCCTACAACAGTGTCCTATAAAAGTTTAGAGTTTATAGAACAACCTATTCCGACTTTTAAACTTTAAAAATGTCTTAAAGCTAGGATTTCCTATGGCTTACTCTAGCTTCTAGCCAAGCAATCCAGCCTATAATACTTCCTCAGTAAAAACAACAGCTTTAGGCAATTTTATTATTAGTTTTTGTTCAAAAAAAGAAGAAAAGTAACTAAGTAGTCCTACATTATCACCACCCAGTTTAGTGTGTCAGAAAAAGCTACGCCAAATAAATCTGCCCATTCACAGATATTCATTAGCGTAACTTCCAATCTCATCATTCGATCTGTGTGTGGATGCCATTCATTCCCATTCAAGTCAATTTAAATTGTGTAAATAATTTCCGTTTTGCCAGAAAAAAAAAGATAGAAAAACAAATGTACAAGTACAAATTTTGTGCCCATTCATTAATTTAAGCCAACCGAATGCACGGAAAACAAAAATGTATTTAAATTCCACATAAATTAGTTAGCTAATTAGAAACTATTCGTATAGATAATAGTTTTGCCACTCGAAATGAAATTAATGACATGTCCAAATGAGCCAGCTAATCCGGTGATTTGAAGAGATATCATGGGAGGGATTTTCTCTGGGTGTAAAATTCAGCGACAGAGCTCAATTTACAAGATAAACGCGCCCGCCTGTCAACTGCTTCCGACGAATTATCATTTGAGCTGAGTTTGTGACTCTGTTGACTCCAGTGTGCCTCCAGTGTGTGTGCCTCGCCGCAGTCCCCCCACCCAATGATTGCGACTTGGAGTCTGAGCGGCCTCAGACTGCTGATGTTGTCAAATATTCAAATTAGCGCTCCACTGAATGGACGCCGGCTGCTGGCTTAATTGTCTAGTTAGTTAGTGGCTCGGAGCAGGCAGTCAACAGGTAGCCAGGTAGCTAGTAGGCAGGTATCTGCTATTCGGCATCTGGTATCGTCTATCTGGAAGCACAATGCACTGCCGCCTGAGGGCTTTTGACCTGTTCGAAAAACGCCCACACGGCCGGGCTTTGAACAATGTGAAAATTATGCGAGTCGCACAATACCTAAGCCCAAAGGCATAAACCTAGGAAAAACAGCCAAATTGATTGCACAACTGGGATGGGGAGCTATACTATATATATATATATATCTACCAAAACACAGCTGGCACGCCCTCGAACGAACAGATTTCGGGGGCCCAAAAATAAATTTATTTAATTACAAACATTTTTCAAAAACAATGAGGGGTCAGAAAGGGTCTTTGATTTTACATAAATCTAGTTAGGAGCTTAAAAAAGAAAAGGAGATATATCAGTTTCTAGATTTTTAAAGTTTTTAAATAAATCATAACTTAAATATTATAAGCCTTTAGCCAAAATGTCAAAGTTTTACCTCTTTAAGACAGGAAATAATTTCCATTCATGCGTTGTTAAAATTATTAAACATAAAAAGTTCGTAAAAATTGTTTGGCAAACATCCATAAAACAGCAAAACACATAAATTTTTCATATTAAGTGAATAATAAAAAAGTTAAAATTTAATTCCCTTTCTTTTTTTTTTTTACCAAACTATAATCTGTAAAAGGCCTCCCTTCCTCATTATTCCCCAAGAAAATGTCCAAATATTTAATCCACAATTTCTCAATCTTGCAGGCACACTACGACCACCAGGCCTAATTGGCGGCTCCAAGCCCAAGGTGGCCACCCCGACTGTGGTCTCCAAGATCGAGCAGTACAAGCGCGAGAATCCGACGATCTTCGCGTGGGAAATCCGCGAGCGACTGATCACCGAAGGTAGGCGAACAATGAGTCCACTGGCAGATGACGATCAATGGGCCAGAGTCATTGGATTATGGAGTAGGGATACTGAGTTGGGGGTATCGAAGTATCTCCTAGGGAGAGAGACACAATGCGAGTTGGCTGGGCTAATTAACTGACAGGGAACCCCCGAAAGCGAAATTGCCCAACAAAATGACAACGGTCGCGACAAGTCTTCTGGTGATCTGCTCTTGGGCTCCAAGTTGCTTACGCGCTTCTTCCTTAGGTTCCTTAGTTCCTTTAGCTTCTTAAGACCCTAGATTGACAGGAGGAACTGCAGAAGAGCAGCCATCAGCAATCGGGCAGGCATCGGTTGCGGATTGATGTGTTTATGGTGCTCGTAATGCGAATGCCCGAGCCGAGGGCTCATTTAATGTTGTAAGAATCAGGAGGAGGATATATATTGTTTCACCGTCGTCGGCAGATTTAGATTTATCGATTGGCTAATTTATGAACATCCGCTCCCGAGTCCGATTGATATGTAAATGTGCTCACATTTGTGTCACTCATTTTGGGTTCCCTCCTCAGGAGTTGCGAGATAATCGCGGACAGAATGGGAGGCAGTAAGTAGTCCAGTTGCCAGTAACCAGTTGACTGTTTTTTTTACTGGTTGCTGCTGCCGCTTGACAGTTGCCCGTGGGCAGTGGAAATGGTCAGTGGATAGTGGACAGTGGACACTGGACAGAGGACACTTGGTCAGTTCGCATCGCTCGGGGCAATGAATCGTTCCGATAGCCATCTCTCGCATGAGACGCACGAACACACACACAGCGAGATCCCAATCGGTACTCTCATTACAGTCAATCTCCAGACCATTGCGGGGTCATCAGCAGGTCATGATGCACAGCATCCGGTGGGGTAAAACAAACAAGAACAAAGGAGGCGCCTTCTTATTGGAAGATTTCCTAATAATTTCCTTACTATTTTCTCCCAGGTGTCTGCACCAATGCCACAGCTCCTTCAGTAAGCAGCATCAATAGAATCTTGCGGAATCGGGCTGCTGAAAGGGCAGCAGCGGAGTTCGCCAGGGCTGCGAGTTATGGCTATGCGATTCATCCAACGCATCCTCATCCTTACACCAGTTTTCCCACTTGGCCAGCGCATCATCCGCTTTGGGGTGCAGTTCCAATGCCCGCGGGATCCAGTGGAGCCCTGCAACCGGGCGGAAGTGGCAGTAGTTACGGCAGTGATGGCAACATGAGCTCAAATCCCAATAGCAGCAACAGCAACACCACCCACAGCAATGGCAACAACACCAACAATGGAAGTGGCTGTGGAGATAGTAGTGCGGGAAGTGGACGGCTTTCCCTGCCGGCCCTTTCCCCTGATTCGGGAAGCCGGGATAGCCGGTCACCCGATGCGGATGCCAATAGGGTGATAGGTAGGTCCAACTTGGAAACTTTTTATAACATTAAATCCCTTTATTTCTGAAATATGTTTATAAATCACATTTCACTCTTGCGCAGACATCGAAGGCGAAGACAGTGATTCGCAGGACAGTGACCAGCCAAAGTTCCGGCGCAACCGCACCACCTTTAGTCCGGAGCAGCTGGACGAGCTGGAGAAGGAGTTCGACAAGTCACACTATCCATGTGTGAACACCCGCGAAAAACTGGCTGGCCGGACGGCCTTGAGCGAAGCCAGGGTGCAGGTGAGTCGTTAGAACCTTCTTTTACTCGATACCAAGATCTCCCAAGACACCCACATTACACCCTACTAACCACACTCGGAGCTAGCAACTCCGGAGATGATGAAAACACCGTTCCCCGGCTCTTTTTTTATCGACTAACAAATTGTCTCTTCACCGATTGATCAACCAGGTTTGGTTTTCCAACAGACGAGCGAAATGGCGGCGCCACCAGCGGGTCAACTTGCTCAAGCAGCGCGACTCGCCATCGACGTCGAGCTCACCCACGCCGGTGGTCAGTCCGGTGGCTTCAGCTCCGGCTCCAGTACCAGATTCTGGCCAGCCGAAGCAGCCATATCCCTACAATCGCAACGGAGGGAGCAACACCAGCAGCAACAACATCTGCAACACCAGCAAGAGCATCAGCAACAGCAGCAGCAACATCGCCAATCACGGCAACAACATGAGCAACAGCAACATGGACAGCAGCAAGCACGTGGTAGAGCCAGCGGTGGTGGCAACTGTCTCACCCACAGCATCAGCTCCATTATCAATGGGCGGTGAGAACAGTGCCTTCCGAGCTTTACCCATGAACTTGCCGATGCCGATGCCCATGACTTTGCCCTCGGCTTCGGCGGCGGCCTTTGCCCTTAGCTTTGCCCGCCAGTACATAGCCAAATATATGGGTACACCTAGCAATCTGGGTCATAATCCAGGCCGCAGTACTAATCAGCGGGAACAGACGGAAGGGGAGGATGAGGAGGACGAAGAAGTTGAGGTTATCAACGTGGAGCACGACGCCGAGTGACCATTTTTCCTATCGCTTTAAATCGAGAATTTAGTGCAATTTTTACTTAATTTATTCAGTTTCTACCACAACTAACCGCGTGCTGAGTACAAATAAAATCGAAACGATGACATGCGTGCGATAAGTTCTCACGAGTTTCGTATAATTGGTTTGGGAATTCAGAAGATGACACCCTTTGACACCCGGGTAAAGGAGCGATGGGTGGGGGAGGGGGGACAGACTCCGAAAGAGACTTTTCGAAAATAACTCAAGTGGACAAATCTGACAATTTTGTGGCTACCAAAAGCGAAGTGAAAAGCAGACACAGAGGCAGTGGCACAGGCTTCAGCTCCAGCTCAGAGCTCAGAGACTCGAACTCAAGTACCTGGCATGGATGGGTTTGGGATCGCTCAGTTCAGTGGGGAGAGGGTCTTCCATCCATTGCTGGAGCCGGGTGATTAATGTGGCTTTAATTACATGCGCTGCCGAGTCGTCGCCCGTCCTCGTTTTTGTCGTCAATGTGTATGCTCGGATGGATCACTATAATTATATAGATGGCCGAATTAAATTTTAATTTAACGCCTGTCAAATCAGAAAACCACTGCCATAATCGTTCGCTCAAGAGATCCCCGATGTCCGATCCACACGGGGGCAGCACCCGAAACAGTTATTCCATTTCATCATCATTGATCGCTGATCGCTGATCGTTGATCGGTGATCGGTGAGAATCAATCGAACTATGCGCCAGCCGCTATTTTACTATTTTACCATTTTTTTTTTTTACCATCCTATTCCATTATTGATTGTTCGGATTGTAATGAGCCACCGAAGGCGTCAACTCCAGCGTCGTTCGGTGATGAAAGAAAGACGCCTGCCAGCCAAGAGAATGCGAAACAATTAAAGCCCCCAATCTCCATATGGATCCCGAATCTCGGATACCTGTGGCTTTCGATGAGTCGTCGAAATGATTTGCGCCACAAGAAAGGGATACACCGGAAAATATTTGATTTAAAATCAATTTGTCATTAACTGGTTGCAATGTTCGTTAGCTGTAAAAGTTAAGATTTAGGTTGTCATCAAGGCGCCATTAGATTGACAAACAAAACTGTTATTAAAAGGCGATTGCTTAGCTTAAATCACTATAATTAGTTTAATTAGTATTTTTAATATGTTTTAAAATCTTTAAGTACTAAATACATTTTTATCTCAGTGAATCTCTTAACTGAAGTAGCTAGCAACGTGAAATAGTTTTTCCCCTGAAATTTCCTTTGTGGTAGCCAAAAGTGGCGCTTTGGGGTCATGTGTGTCGCTTCACCTCTTCTTTAGTGGCAGAATCGTATGGCAATCCAAAGTATCTTTTGAATGGAACTCCAAACGAAACTGGACTGCATATCATCCAAGAGTTCCGATTGCATCCTTAACGCTTTTTTTTTTTCAACCGTTGTCCGTTGCCTGTACCTGTTAATTGCCAAAGGCGTTAGTATTAAGTGGTTTTCGTGCTTATTATAAATATCTCTTAATTTTCGCCATCCCCACGTTGTGTGCTGGTGTGAGTGGCAAAATCTTGAAATGGCAATCACCGACTTGCAATTCCCAACTCCCGACTCCCTACTCCCGACCAAAGGCAGCCAAGTGGACAACGTCTGCGGACTCGTCGTCGTCGTCGTCTGCTTTGTTGTCATTATGTTGTGTTATTTGGCACGATTTGTTAAGCTAAGGAGCAGGAATGGGACTGAGATGAGGATTGGTGATCAGAGGCGAATGAAAGGGGGATTTTTGGGCGAAAATTTTGGTGGAATATCTTAAAAATAGGTTCGATTTTTGGATGAAAATATTCTAAAAAACCAAATAACTTTATAATATTGTATGTTTTAATGGCCATTTTCCCATTCATATTCAAGTTTGCTATGATCAGAGAATCTTCTATTAAACAAGATCGGTTACCAAAACCCCATAAAACCCCTTAATGTCGCCTCTGGATCTCCTGAATCTCGAGTCGAAACAGAAACTGAAGGCTGTGCGCGGTTGCATGATGCTGCCGATCGATTGGGCCCGAATCGATCAGCGGCAAAGAGCGGCACCAGGAATGGCCAAAGCCTTGTGACTCCGGTAGCCGGATCACTAGTCCTGACACCGGCCGCCGCCTCATCCCTCCCCTATTTTGGCCCTCTTTTTAAGAGAGAATTGCCGCTTTTGGCCATGAGATCGGGAGCCAAACTGGCGTCGCACAGCACACAGGGCCTATATAATTGTCGCATGCAAGATCGCGGCCATCGACATCGGCATTGACAACTCGGAAATTGGCTAGGGGGAAGGATGGTTGAACTGGGCAGTTCAAGAAGGGGGGATCTCCGAGACAGGAGGACATGAAAGGTAACGCATTGCTGCGACCAGGAGAATAAGTAATTCACTTAACGCTTTAATATCGCTGATAAATGCAGACCAATCTGCATTCCCCTTTTCCCCATGTCTTATGTTTTATTTTTATTTTTTTTTAGTTTGGATCGAGAGGACCCATACATTTCCCCTTAATTGGTGCAATTTCGAACGATTTTATTTTATTTCGCCTGCGTTTTTCCTTAGATCAGAGGGCTCTTACTGCGGCTGCTGCTGCTGGGAGATCACCTGTGCCTGCGCAGACTTTGTGGCTGCGGCGTGCGAACAGTCCGCTCATTTGCATAAATTCAAATTCATTTGCACGTCATTGGGAATGGGAATGGGAAACCGAATGCGAATGCGATTCGAGCATTGTTTTGCACGTGTTGACAAGTTGCGAGGGGACTAGTGGCTCGAGGAGATGGAAATTAACCATAGGAGGGACCAGACCGGATGCCCCGAATGATAAAATGCCCATCCTCTCCAGAACCCTCGATAGCAGCCTTTAGCCTTACAGTTCAAACCAATCGACGACGTCTATGCGAGTTTAATGCAAGCCTAAGCCTATAATTTGATCGTATCCACACAATAACTCAGGACCCAACCCAAATCGGAGTTGGACTTTGGGAGTTGGACTTAAACGGACCTCAACGGAGTGCAAAATGCCCAGTGGCGCTTTTGAGGGCGTGGCCACGCCGAGCAAGAGCAGTGACAGAGCCGATAATGGATGCGCAGCAATGCCATTTCTGGCAGATCGGGGAGTACTCCGCGGCTTCTGATAAGACCACCAGCGGGAAAACACTCGAAAAAGTGTATGATGTAGGTGAAAGGGGAATTTTTTTTTTTTGGATTCAGGAAAGGCTTAAAATAAGACTTAATAAAAAGTAAGAACTATGAACTCCCAAAAATATTACTTAAAACTTGTAACTCATAAAACAAAAAGTTTAAAGATAATTATTATTTTTCCGTTTCCGTTCCCTTGAACTCCATTATTTTCCTCAGTGCATTGGATCTGCTCCAGCAGCAGGACAAGTAGTTGTTGAAAGCGTCGAGCGAGTGCCCAGCCAGGAACGCCCGGCTCACTTAGCGGGCAGGAGTCGTAACTTAACTGTGGGGACCTGGAGACCGGGATCGATCGATCGGATTACCCGGCAGGCTTTTCAATTCAACACATCCTCCGGTCGCCGCTGCAATTATATGCTCGTACCCGCTCGCATCCAGATCGGATCTGCCACGCCTCCAACGATTGGGCGTGCGACGCCAATTATAAACGCAGAGATCCCAGGACGCTGACTTAAATAAATGCGCAAGTTTGAAAATTGAAAGGGAATTAGCGGTGGGCAGGCAGCCGATCTGCAGAAATATTGTGCATAATTATATGCTAATCCAATGGCATTGAATTATGTGCGGCCATGTGTGGTCACATACCTTCTTCTTTATATATTGAAAACTAGGGAAAGTAGAAGGAAATGCTTTTCAAGCGGCGCCTAAGCTGAATAATTGGGATTTCCAGGCTCCCTTTTTTCATCGTCGGTGGGCATCCCACCCGCGGTCTGTTTGCATTGAAGTCGATCATGTAAGTAATTTCCCCTGTCCGGGATTCCAGACCCAAAATCCAAATCCAAATCCACCGACAATCGGTAGGAGATTGATTACTGTTAGGAGTGTGATAAATCGTTGTTTTTATTAACTTTTTCGGGATGACGCAGCGAAATTGGCGCTGCATCTCCAGTCGCCAGTGGTCGGCACATGAATACTGTCGATCTGGAAATCAGATCAGCGTGATAATGTATAATTTGTCGGAGTGTTTTGGTATGCTCGAAACAAAGGCGATGCCATCGCGTAAGGTTAATTGAATTCGCTGGAGAGTTGGAGAGTGATTTTCTGCAATATTGAGACGGCCATAGGCCTTTAACATTTTGTTCTTTGAACTCAAACTTTTTCAAAATTGTGTACTTAATTTTCCGTTTTTGGACTTTGGCCTTTTATCATCTTCAAATCATTATCATTATCAAATTTCAAAATAGCAATACACCAACTGCTTTCAAAATTATATAATGAAAGAATCAGATAGCATTTTTTTAAATTTAAATAAGATTTTTGTTAGACTAATATTTTTATTCTATATTATTTTAATATGAATTCAAATTTATATTCTTCTCGAAGTTCCCCGTCAAGATAAAGTAATTAAAGTTAAGTTCAATTTGAACTACAAATGTTCAAATTGTCCGCCTATGTTTTACAAAGTATCGATATATCGATATCTTTTTGTTTAAACGCAGAATTGCTCACCCCGCGAGCTTAGCACCTAGATACCCTTTGGTCACATTGCAATCCGATTCCAAGTGGGACACGCTTAACATTTTTTTTTGCCAATTTGCCATTAATTCCAAGCGTCTCAGCTGTTCCGAAAAATTCGCAACCCAATTAAATGTGTTTAACTAGGCGTTTGTCGCAATCCGTGGATTTTAAAGGCTCTTAAGCGACTAAGGAAGCTTAGAACCCCGCTCTGTTGCAAAGATTGCACCAAAATCAGCGCCAGCGTCAGCAAAAGTTTCATTAGCAACTTGGTTATCAGCTGCGGAAACGAACTATAGAGTTGGTCAATCCACTAGACAAAGGGCAGAAACCATAGAAACTAGTTGCCATGGCGAGTCCAAGGACGCGACGAGTGCTCCAGGAACTGAAGCCTCAGGATGAGAACTCGGTGGGTTTGGTCCTTCACACATATGTCACTTCGAGTGTTTTAATTTCTTTGTTTTCAACCCACAGAAATGTTTTGAGTGCGGAACCCACAATCCCCAGTGGGTTTCCGTTACCTACGGCATCTGGATTTGCCTGGAGTGTTCCGGCAAACATCGTAGTTTGGGCGTTCACCTGTCCTTCGTGAGATCCGTTACCATGGACAAGTGGAAGGACATCGAGCTGGAGAAAATGAAGGCAGGAGGCAATCGCAATGCCCGAGAGTTCCTAGAGGATCAGGCCGACTGGAACGAACGGGCTCCAATCACCCAACGGTACAATTCCAAGGCTGCGGCTCTTTACCGGGATAAGATAGCCACTTTGGCCCAGGGCAAAAGCTGGGATTTCAAAGAAGCCGAAGCCCGAGTGGGCAGCACCAATAGCTACAGCGGAGGCGGTGGTTCCAGCAGCAGTAGCTCCCAGTCGCGACCCAGTGCAACAGGTTATGGCGGAAATGGAGGCTATCAAAATGGAGGAGGCGGCGACACTGGAGGCTATCAGCAGTACCAAACGCAGGAATTTAAGGACCAGAAGGAGGAGTTCTTCAACAGACGCCAAACGGAGAATGCTTCGCGGCCAGAGTAAGTTCTTTGTTACCTGTTTTGAAGAATTTTGCATAATTTATTTGTAATTTCAGACACTTGCCACCGAGTCAGGGCGGAAAGTATGCAGGTTTCGGGTTCACACGCGAACCCCCACCAAAAACGCAATCTCAGGAACTGTTCGACTCAACGCTGTCCACTTTGGCCTCCGGCTGGAGCCTTTTCTCAACCAACGCCTCCAAGTTGGCCAGCACCGCCAAGGAAAAGGCCGTTACCACAGTCAATTTGGCCTCAACGAAGGTAAGTTCTATATTTTCCTGAACTTGGTTCTTCATTTGCTTCATTTCTCAGATTTTGTTTAATTGAATTTTAATTTCTTTGAATTTCAATATAATTGCTTATATGTAGTAAATCTTTAATGTTGTGGAGTATTTTAAAATGTATTTAGAAAATGTATTGACATGTTACACATCCAAAAACTAAAAAATCGCTGAATTTAATATTGCCTTTCATATTATTACTCTTAATTTATATACTGATCTAGAATTTGCTTAAGGTATTATACTTCATATAATTTGAATTATAAAGTTTTTGCAATTTGTAATCCATAACTTAAAATTAAACTTTAAAGAAATCGAAATCTGTGAAAGTTGGCTCCCAATATTGATTTGTTTATTTAATTATCATACATTTTTATTTGTATAATTTGTTTGCGTATTTTTTGGTTGTAGATTAAAGAAGGAACTTTGCTAGATTCCGTACAAAGCGGAGTTACCGATGTAGCCAGCAAGGTCTGTAGTTGTAAAAGCTTCCCGCTTAGTCTTCTAAAGCTACTCAAAAACTTATACCCTTACATTATTTTACTTACCTTAGGTCACCGATATGGGCAAGCGAGGCTGGAACAATTTGGCGGGCAGCAACATCTCGTCGCCACAGGGCGGCTACAACGATCCCAACTTTGAAGACAGCGCCTATCAGCGCTCTAATTCGGTGGGCGGAAACCTGACCGGAGGATTGGGACAACAGAGCGGCGTTAGCGACAGCGACTGGGGCGGCTGGCAGGATACCGCCAACAACAAGTCGCATTTGACCAGCTCCAGTTCTTACCACAATCAGTTGAGTAGCAGCAGCGGCAACGCAACTGCAGGCCTCACCCGCGATGCCGATTGGTCTGGTTTCGAGTCGTCCAATTACCAGAGTGCGGAGACATCCTATCAGAACGCTCCGTCCGGCGGTTCAACGGCCCGGCGCAATATGAAGTTGCAGGACACTTCGCAAAAACTGAGCGAGGGTTTCGAAAACCTGGATGTAAAGAATGTAAAGTCCAAGCCAATGACAACCTCTTCGACGGGTAACAAAGCCAGCGCCGAGGACGATGCCTGGGACCTGTTGATGAACTAGAATCCGAACCGAGCCCATGCGATTGTATTTTGTATTCCATTCAGTTTGTTGTGTCTCCTTTGTTATGTGTCTTGATGTCTGGCCGAGGCTGTTGTGCGCGCATTTAATGTAACTAACTGAATATGTATTCCCCAAAACTACCGGCATGCTCCAATTTCAAACATAAAGTGCAACTATTCCCTTTTATTTCCACAGTTTAGACCAATTTTGTATAGATCTACTTAACGAATTACTTAGCTTAAAATATATACCAGGATTCGGAGGAATGCGAAATGAGAAAATACATATTATGTTAACAAGTGTAAAGACTTGCTTTGTTTTTGTCGGTGTATATAAAATGTTCTGTCTATCATTTTGTTTGCAGTAAAGACAAGCAATTCATTGACAATTTAAAATATTTATAAATTAATTTAAAATAATATGTGTGACCTTGTACATCCCAGGAAAATTGTGAGTCTTGGCTAAGCGAAGGCACACACCCTTCATTGGTATATATTAGGGTATTCCTGGGACCTTAAGAAGTATATCTAGATAAACTTTCGTGGTCACACTTTTAAACCCAAATTCGATTTCGCTAAAATTAAAGAGTTCTGTATGATTCGCTTTAAGTCATAAAGCCACAGAAATAGCGTAAAACCAGACGGTATTCTCTATAGCCCGACCAATAGGTAATGGCCATAAAACTAGTGTCAATGCAATGAAAGTTTATCGCTTTCTTTTGCATATCCACATTCCATTCGTTTGCTTGTGTGTGTGCATGAAAATCGAGTGCAGAATAAAATTTTGCCAAATTGGCAACAATGCGCTAGCGTTTCCCTAGAAATTTGAGTCACACCGGTCTGGAGAAACGCTAAGAAAAGCGGAGAATTTAGAAAAGAAGCGAGAAAGTGCATTGGAATACGGAGAATTGCTCGTTTTAAGCTACACTTGCAAGTAGAAAGTTCGAGTTGCTGAGGAAACTCTCCCTTTTCCCTTTTACCCCCACCCCGAATTTTGGAGACATGTGCGTGAGTGTGCGTGAAGCTGTGGGATTTTCAAGGTTTTCCGGAAATTTGTTGGCCTTCAAATTAGCAGCGAAATACAATGGGATGTTCGAGGACCTCAAATTGGCACCTCTTGTTTCCAGCCAAGGGGACTCAGGATGACTTCATCACTAGGAAATTCGATACTCTAAGCTTGTTTATTTATCTTTCGTCCAGACATAACACTAAAAAACTAATGTATACAATTCATAAACCCACTTTCAGGCCACCGATTTTCCAGTTATTTCCCCAAGGAGACCAAAATGAGCCGGCCATAAGAGCAGAGCAGCAGTTATCCCAACACGTAATCCCCCAGAGAAACCAAAAACGAGCAAACCAAGAGAAATCCTTCAGCTGCCTGTTCAAAGAAAAACTCAAGGTAAACTGTAAGCACGAGTGTGGAGAATGGTCAGAAAGCAAGTTGGAATCGAACACAGTGCATCCTTAGCAGTAAGCAAGCAGCAGGATCAAAAAGAGCAGGATTATAAGGTAGAGGATCAGAAGCCCAAGGATAAGGAGCACCACATCGACATTGACTTGACGCCCGATCCGGCCAGAAACTTTAACTTTGCCCAGCAAGCGCAGGCCAATTATTCCGCACGCACCCTAACCACCAACTATGAGCATGGCCAGAATGTTGGTCTGCAACATGCCCATCTTGCCACTAACACGCCGTTGCCATATGACCTGCACGAGGTCGCTAACTCCGGCTCCATCCTGCCAACCGAAATCCCCATCGAGGACGAGGAGCGGCTGGAGCGGATCTTCAACAAGTTGGACCGCGACGGCGACGGCAGGATTGATATCCACGACCTCTCGGCGGCACTCCACGAGTTCGGATTGTCGAGCGTCTACGCGGAGGTGAGTAAAGAGTACAAACTAGAATCTATACTCCAAAATATGTTTAGATTAGAGCTCGAAAACTATGAAAACTAAGTTTTAGCACATAAAATATTTGTTCGAAATTATCTACGGTTGCCATGACTTAAACAAATATGTTAACATCTCAAAAAGCCTTAACAGTTTCTTAAGGATAGACTATATATTTAACAAAATGGTAAAAGTTTCTTTTACACGTGCCCGGGGCTCGCCATTCTCTCGGGAATCTGCATTGCCTTTGTTATATGCTTTTCTATAGAGAACGAACAAAGGTAGAGATCAATAATATGCGACCTTGACGAGTGAATTTATCTGAGTATCTTAATTTATACATTGTACATTATTAGTTTCCCATGATCTGGGCAAAAAGATTTGGCACGGCTGCTGACCCTGGCCAACTTAACCCTATCAATGTGTCATATCTGTACTTGCCAAAAAAGGGCTCATTAAATCAAGAGAAATGTGTTTAGCCAAAAAAAGAGAATAAAATCTATTTTTAGACGAGCACAATATTTTCACCCGTAGGAAATGTTTTGGTATTGGCTATCAGATTTTGTTCGTGGTATTATTAGCTTTATTTACATTTCAGCTAAAACAAATAGTTATTGGACACGAAAATGCAAATATTAAGATTAAAATGTTTATTTCAAATGGATAAGTAAAAGTTATTTTACATTCAAGTTGGTTCTATTAGTGTTAATGAGGTTTGTTTAATGATTCCGATAATGTATCTTCATCCAAAATGGTTCTAGTAAAATCCTTAATCTATGTTTTATCAAGCATATATCATCAGATTGTGAAATGACATGCAACAAGTATTTTGAAATGTTTGAAAAGCAATCAGAATTGGATTAGCTGGTGCTCAGAGGGTTAATGTGCAGACGACTGAGGATAGTTTTATGGTTTCCGCTGGCGAAGCCCTCATGATACGGGAAATTGATTTGTTTTAACGATTCAGGTCGATACTCACTCTGGTCATGGGCTCATTATGTGCCAGGCCTGCGAAAGTGTGACATTAATTTCTAGTAACATTCCGGCCGTGAATCTAGTAATATTCCATAATTAGGGTGTGATAAACCAGCCAGTAATATTCCGCACTTTATTTCTATTACAGAAATTCCTTCAGCAGTCGGACAAGGATCAGAGTGGCAACGTGGGCTTCGCCGAGTTCCTGCATTATGTGCGAGAGCATGAGAAGAACCTGGTCCTGCAGTTCTCACACCTAGATAAAAACCGTGATGGTGGGTTATTGCTGCAATCTAACTCGAACAATTTTTTTAAAATTGAAATCATTGCAGGCAAAGTGGACTTGGAAGAGCTGATTTCGGCATTCAAGGACCTGGGCCTGGACATAGACTTGGACGAGGCTAGGAATCTGCTAACCAGGTTGGCTAAATATTCTGCATATACTTTTATGTCTTCTTATAAATACGATTTGTCTTCCAGAATGGATAAGGACGGCAGCCTGAACATAAGCTTTAACGAGTGGCGCGACTTTATGCTATTGGCGCCCTCAACGGATATTCACGACTTGATTAAATTTTGGCGGCACTCTACTGTAAGTCCTTCGAATGTTTATCCAAAACTTAGTTCTTAGTGCAAGTTCTTGAGTTTAAAAGCAGTAAGCAGTGGGTCTTCAAAGGGGACTCACTGCCAAGCTGAAATAGTTTTTGTTCTGTCGCATTTGTTTTTCTATACCCATGTACATTACATTTAGTATCTTTGTAGCTGTTTAACGTTATCGTATTTAAAACTAATTGCCAACTTTTACCCTTCTTATCCTCGCCCATATATCCAAAAAAAAAAAAAAAAAAAAAAAAAAATTAAACCAACAAAAAACACTCCACATCCTAACGATCTAAACTGTCGATTGTAGTTCCTACACCCACACTACTCCTGACTAACTGAGGAAGATCTGAAGGTACATATCCGTCAAGTTACATTTTACGATTACCATTAATATTGTTGTAGTCCCTCCCACGTAGAAGCAGGGCACTCGATAACACATACTACGTACAAAAAACACACCCATCCCACCCACCGAGAAAGGCTTTATCATCATCAGTCCCATTTGCTAATCAGCCACAAATTATATTGCCTGCATGTGTATTATTTTCGTTGTATTTTACCTTCACCTGAGAGAACATCGGCCAATTTTCGAGGACCGACTTGCTTGAGAGTTAAAGCTTTTCATATAATTGTTCGGACTTCTCTCTCTTTAATTCTACTCTTTAGTCGCCACTGACGTAAATGTTACAGTTATTTCATCAGACTTTTTAAACTGGCGCTTTATGGGAAGTCCGTTTTTGATATCGTTCCGCCCGCTTATCGGGATGATATTCACATTGTCATAAAGATCCAGCATTTTTGGTTACACAGCGAAAAAATGTTATATATTTAAAAGATAAAATGTAGGGTTAAGCAAAGGGATTTCTGACTCACCTTAACTTTGAGATACAGATTCTCCAATGTATTTCTATTCTCAGTATTTGTAGTTCTAGCTAATTTATATTATTTTTGGAAAACAGTTGTTAATTTTGTAAACTTAATTAACGTAAACAAGAACTTCGTGATTCAGCATGTAATGAAAAAGTGTTCTTGTGAGTTACGTGTTTTTAAGTGCTTCGTTTTAAGGTTCCATAAGTAGCTTAATGAATACTTGCCTAGGTAATCCATTTAACAAAAAGCTTTAAACAGCTAACAAAAACTTGAAGCTCTAAATACTTTTCAAATGAATTTTAGTTAGTCCAAAAATCAACTTCATTAGAAAATTAAAACAGAATGTCACCATCACCACTCTTTCCCTTGAATACCCGATTAATTTAAAAAATATCATGATAATACTTTAATATTGATAAGTTAAACTCGGGTTTTTGTTTTCTATATCATCGCATTATCTAATTTTTTTCCGTGTGCTGAGGCAGGTGACGATGTCATCGCTTTGTTGTCTGCGTAATCATTCTGTTTACTTTTATCATCTTTTGCTCACTGTCACTGTTAATTTCCACAATTTATATCAATTCCATGTAACTGGAATATCACATCATATAAACGCCTCTGTATTCTTAGCATTTAGAGGAAAAGCCAGATTTGTCGTTTGTCTGGAACAGCTTTTTCCAAATTTTAAATTATCAGTTGCTGTTTTTGTATGTTTAACTTTTACTGGCAAGTCTGCAGACTTGAAATCTTAAGGTCAACCGGCTCCAGAAAGATTGTTGTCAAGCAGACTGGCTTTGGCAAGTTCTCGGCAGCCGGTTCATTGTCTCTGACGTACCACCAGCTAGACAGGTCCCGTTTCTGGGCTATTTTTAGGAGCCGTGCAAGGGCACAGGTCCGGAGTAGCAATCCCCGCCTTGCATTAGCCTGATGAACAGGAAAAGTGAACGGCTGGCTCAGTCGAAGCCT